AAAAATACTTGTGCGATGTGATTCGAGGGTTTTGTCAAAGTCTATTCATGCCATTCGGGAACTTTGGGAAAAGAGAGTTAACAGGCCAATCAGACCCACGACCACTGTACATATAGCCTGTTGCATATGTATATCAAAGTAAAGCGATCGTTATATAGCACCTTTCTAAACATACGTTACAAAGTGCTTCACAAAGATGAAATTAGTTAATAAAACATGAGGTACATATGCGTTCGTTCTCGATATATGTAAAATGTTTGGCAGGTCTGGTGGGATTCAGTCAGCCCAGTACCATATAAGTGGGGAAGCTGTCCCTTAAACGTCGCATCTCTGCAGCTCGAGTACTAGATGTTATGGTACGACGAACACCTAATCATCGGCACGGTCACTTTATATTGCTGGCTCTGCGACTCACTTCTTCAGTTATATGTTTTTTTCACCACCGTTACCTAAATACAACAATAGATTTGTGATTTTTAAAACTGCAACATTTCCCACAGTACGTAAACGCATCCTGTCGCCACACCGGATATTAACGTCGTTTCCTTTGCTCGCGGAACAGACGTGATTAAGCTAAGCTAGCAATGTCAGGTGTCGAAGAAACTTCGAATGAATCTGTAAAAGTTAAAGAAGATAAAGAGTTTGATGCAGAGGCTGAGGACCACATCGGGGATGATTACCTTGTTGACCCAACTCGATATATATCTTACAGGTAGTGTTTATTTTCTATAAATGTTCGGCTAGTTTTATTTATGCGCTAACTGTAGCTACTTGTTCTGTTAGCTAACTTGTTAAGCTACTTTTAATAATGCGGTAATGTTTGATAACTTGCTTTCTTGTCTGCGTCGTTAGTCGTTAATTCTTGCTATAATAAAGTTAGGAGCAGTGGAATCAGCAGCAGTAAACCGTAAACATTTATTTACTGAAGTAGTGCTGTGTTGACAGAATGGTGACTGGCAAGTTCATCCTCGCCACTGCCCCAAAATGAAAATTGGAGAAGGCGTAAGTTAAATTGAGATGCTCAGACTCAGCGTTATATGAATCGCTGTGGTTTTACTATGAATCCACATCTTTATCGCTTTTGTTTAACACAGCACCACGAAGAGCACTCCGTTATTTTAGCTACCTTCGGGTGGTTTGTATTGCAGTATAGCGGTCAGAAAATCCCCTCCCGTGTTTTTGTGTTACAGGGACAGAAAGGACTGGGCTGACCTGGAGCCTGTTGTTCAGGATGATGGGCCAAATCCTGTAGTGAAGATCGCCTATTCTGAAAAGTGTAAGGTCGTTTCCTGTTGGCATGAAATGGAGATCAGAGTATTAGACACCATGGAATTGGAAGCAATTCATTCCTATAAGCTTAACCTGAATATTTGAATGTTTTCACGATTAAACAAAAACTTTATAAATGTGTCTTTCAGCCGTTTCAGTAAGCTACACTTAAAGAAAACCTATAAACCCGGTGCTTGAATCTATGCAGAGTGCATTTTTGTACTAGAGACGTGCAGATAAACAGTTTACACGTGTTTCCCCAACAGTCTCAGATGTTTATGACTACTTCCGTGCCCTCCTGAAGAATGATGAGAAAAGTGAACGGGCCTTCGCCTTGACAGCAGAGGCTATTGAGCTAAATGCTGCAAATTACACAGTGTGGTGAGCATGCATGTTTGGAATATGGAAAAGTAATGTTTGTTGTTTAGTAGTGTTTCTTTTTTATAAGATGGTGGGGAAACAAATCAAGAGGTAATGTTTGTTTTCCTAGTTTAATGCAGTATTTTCACAGTGGTACTTTGGATGATGCTTCAAAAAGCCTCCAACTGGAAAGAGTCATACCTCCCACTCATGCTGGGCTGTGGCTCCTAAGTGCTGTGCCTCCTCAGTCAAACTATACAACAGTTTATTTTTGGATCCTACATTGTGTTTATATAGGGCTGTCCCTTCAGGTACAGAAAACCTCATTTTGTCTTGGTCTTTAGTCTCTTGTACCTTCTGAAATAGAAATTAAAAAAAAAGGGACCACATCCGTTTATTGTGTCCTCTGTGAAAACATATCCGTTCGTTGGTTTGGTTAATGTGCAGGCACTACAGGCGAGTACTGCTGCAAGCCCTGTCAAAGGACCTGAGAGAGGAGATGAGCTACATTACTGCCATCATTGAGGAGCAACCCAAAAACTATCAAGTATGGTGAGTACTGGCAAATCCATTTCAGGCCACCTTTTGATCTGTCATCAGTTAAATTAGATGACATGTCTGAAAACAGAGAAAGAAAAAAGGGGGACAGTGGGAACAGGACACAATCATCCAGGTCATTGAAAATATTAAATATAAGGCTGGGTTTTGTGAGGCGTGTTCTTTTATATTGATATAATTGGGTGAAAACTACATAAACATATCTGTGACATGTAAGTATGTATACTTATGTGTGCTATAAAATAAAACCCTTCATAAGTGCGTAAAATAAAAATCACCCTAACAGTTTCCAAACTTGCAGGCATCACAGACGTATGGTGGTAGAGTGGTTGAATGACCCCTCAGAGGAACTGGAGTTCATTGCGGACATTCTCAGCCAAGATGCGAAGAACTACCACGCCTGGCAGCACAGACAGTGGGTCATCCAGGTGGGTGTTCAAGCTCTCGGCAAAGTTTGGCTTCAAAATTGAGGACAGACATCCAGGTTTCTGCCCACAATGAGCCACTCTGCCAGACTGAATCCTTTACTTATTATTTTGGTTGTCTCGTGTGGTGTTTGATTTCATCTTGAGTCAGTATTTGTCACAAGAATTGCAGGGCCACCACTAAAAGCATCACACGAACACAAATGCGTTGTATTATTTAATTCTCAGGAGTACAAACTGTGGGACAAGGAGCTGGAGTTTGTGGAGAATCTTTTGGAAGATGATGTGAGGAATAATTCAGCATGGAACCAGAGGCATTTTGTCATTTCTCACTCTACAGGCTTCTCTGATCCAGCCATAGTGGAGCGAGAGATTCAGTGAGTACTCTCCCAAAAATATACAGGATTTGGATACAGTTAATTTACACCTTTTAAATTTGGATATTAAAAATTCTAGCCTTTTTGGAAAGACATTTTCTTCCATAAACACCTTATTCACTCATGGCCAAAAATATTGGCACCCCTCCATTTGTGTCAGATATCTCACCACTTCTCTCAGAAAATTGTTGCAATTACAAAATCTTTTCTCATGTTCATTTCTTTTGTTTGCATTGGAACAACACAAAAAAGCCAAATCTGATATGTTCCACACAGAACTCCAAAAATGGACTGGACAGAATTACTGACACCCTCAACTTTATATTTGGTAGCACAACCCTCTGGACAAAATAACTGAAATCAGTCTATTCCTGTAACCACCACTGAGTTTCTTCCACCTCTCTGCTGGAATGTTGGACCACTCTTATTTTGCCAGCTGCTCCAGGTTTCTCAGATCTGAAGGGTTCCTTCTCCCAGCTGCTGTTCTGAGATCTCTATACAGGTGCTCTATGGGATTTAGATCTGGACAGACACGCAACTTTCTGACACTAGTCCCTACATTGTGCCCAAGAACTCACTGGTAGTCTTCAGATTTCATAAAGCCAAACACACACTCAGGACATCGGGGGCCTGAAGCAGCAAAGCAACCTCAAAACATCAGTGAACCTCCACCGTGTCATCAGTTTTTCCTCTTTCGTCCACATCCAGGGAGATCAGCTACAGCGCCATGAGCTGTAAACCTCTTGACAATGTTGTGCACAATGGACACAGGAACAGCCAGATCTCTGGAGATGGACTTGCCCATTGTCCAGGCTTTTCCACTCTTATGGTTCTCAAATCCTCAGACGATTCATTGCGCTTCTTTCTTTTCTCCATGCTCAGTGTGGTCCACACGACACAGGTTGAGTCAACTTTTCTCCATTTTAACTGGTTGCATGTGGGATTTCTATATTGGCGGCTACAGGTGAGTTTCATCACAAATTAGAGGAGCATCACATGCTTGAAATGCAGCTATTTCTGACGAGTTTGAAAAGGTGTCAGTAATTCTGAGCAGTCCATTTTTGGAGTTCTGTGTGAAATGTATTGGATTTGGCTTTTTTGTCGTTCTAATCCAAAGAAATAAACATGATGACACCAAAGAATTTGGGATTTGCAGCAGTTTTCAGGGAGAAGTGGTGCATTATCCAATAGTAATGCAGGAGTGTCTATTTTTCCCCATCACTGTGTGCAGAGGATTTGATTTTTCACATGTGAAGACATTTTATTCATCTTTTGTTGATAAAACAAATAATGCCAAATGACTATATTCAACATGCTTATTTTCTTGAGCAGTAAGCATCACATTTTGTAATTATGTGCCAAAGTAAGGATGTTTTTGAACAACAACAAAAAAGTTTTTAAATGTACTTATTTCTGCTTATGTATGTGCAAGCACCTGAAATGTTTTCTCCACACATTGTACGTGACTGACTCTGTACTTTTTCTTCCTGATGCAAGGTATTGTCTGAACCAGATCAGGAAGGCTCCTCACAATGAAAGTGCATGGAACTATTTGAAAGGGTAAGATGTAAAGATACAGATTATTTTACATCCCAGGACATGTGCAAGGAAGCTAATATGTTCTTTTTTTTTATCTGATTCACCTATTTCACATTAAGAGTGACTCGTGGACATTTATTTGCTATGGCCATTCAGACATTCACAGTATATTACAAGCTACAGGGGAAAAAGCAATTGTAGACTTGGTTATTAAAAATGAACACGCTCACTGACAGTATTCACTTTATTTATTTTAAACAAGGATGCTACAAGACAAAGGTCTGTCATCTCAGCCAGGCTTGCTGGAGAGGGTCCTGGAGCTGAAGGAGACCCACTGTTCGCCCTACCTTCTCGCATTTCTGTTTGACTGCTATGAGGATGCCTTGGAGAACGGCAACCAGAAGGAAACTGGGGGGGAGGAGGAACAAAAGCAAACTTTAAGAAAAGCTCTAGAAGTAAGTGCTTTGTTAAAGGCAAACTTAAATTGTTAACGTTGCAATTCTGTGTTTGTAGATTAAACTGAGCCCTGAACTGATGCTCCTGCTGCTGCTGCTGTTTTCTGACCCTTCTTATGTTTGTTCTCCACATTTGAAGATTTGTGACCTTCTGGCGAAAGAGAAAGACACCATCCGTAAGGAGTACTGGCTGTTTTTGGGACGTTCATTAAAGCTCAAATACAGAAGCACCAGTCTCTCTGAGCCTGTGGGTGACAGCGCTGAACCTTCCCTCTCAGCATCTACACAGCAGTAGATGAGACTTCCAGCAGACTCATAATTTCCACTCCTAGCCATCTTCATCTGCAATGTCTACAGAACTAACCTGTATGTGGTATTACTGTAAATTGCTATTGTGTATATTGCTGAAGAAATGTCTTGAAATAATCACTAAGATGAGGTCATCAAAAGGCACTGAGATGGACTTCTAACAGATGCAAGGCACAAAGTACTTGAAAGTTTTCCTCCGGCTAAAATTTACAAATGTTGCACATGGTTTAAACAAAGCATTATGTTTGTCTTTTTAAACCATAAACCACACAAATAACTGACTGTATCAGCACCTTTCAGGTTTATTAGTTACTTCTTCTTAATCTGTTTCTTTGAGCCTGAACATATCAGCCATTGCCATCTACACAGTGTGCCAACAGTCCCCATGCCATGTGTACTGACAACACCTCGAGTGTGTTTACAGGCACACTAATATCCAATTCTTAGTCTTTAATTATTGATAGGTGAACATGTTAATGTCTGACTAGAGAAAAATGTTTCTGTACTAGTAGGAGCTTTGACTTATTTAATCCTTTACAAGTAGTTTATAAATGTGTTTGTAGAGGTTTTCCTTCTACAGGCGTATGTTTGAATGGACTCACAATAAGACTATGTGGAGAACTGTGTGCATGTAAACCCAGCTCAATCCTGGAAAATTTCTTGATTGTCAGAGTATTTAGGTTTTTTAATGAAGGGAAATTTATCATGAAATGTAAAAATAAAACTCGGCACAACAAACTAAAAACACTGGTTTGTAATATGTTATCAGTGCTAATAAGAGATGACTGATGAAATGCAGACGTATGCTGCTGCATTCTGATCAGTATCTTACATAACATCGACCTTTCCTTTTTCCTCAAATTAGTTGCTCTAAATGAGCCACTCTCTTGCCGTTGGGCAGGGTTTGTCCTGTTTGGTGTTCTGACCTATGCTGCCAGGAGAAAACTGGACAAACCACCCCCTGCTCATACACCACCTGTATTGACACAGCCTCATGTCCTGACTCCCTGGGAGCTAGGAAATGGATTTACTCCTCTAGATGCAGCTGCTTGTACTTCTACTGACACTACAACACAATCCATCCCCTCTAGCTCCTAACCAAGCAGCCAGGGTGTAATTACTGCTTCCCCAGATACTTGATATTATGTAGAAATGCTTGCTTTTCTCTGCTTTTCCTCAGTGTGGAGGACACTGATCTGCAAATTCACGTCATCAGCAGCTATGACGGAGCACGAGGGGCCATTTAGTGTAATAAACCATTTGACTAACACATTTCTCACCCAGCCCTTTGGGGGAAAAAAAAAAAAAAAACTTCAGTAGTTAGTCTGAACAACCACAAAGCACATACCTTAAGAGGTGACATAACAACAGGCCCCATCACGCCTTGTCCAGGCTGTCAAGTGAACATCGGTGGCACCATTTCTTAACAGATAAGGTAACTGCTGCATCCAGCATTGTTCGGAAGACACTGCTGCCTAGTGGTTAAACACAAAACAAGAAAAAGGACTCGGCCTGTAATTAAAATACTAATTAAATCCAACAAAAGTTCAAGCGAACCACCCAGATTCCCTTGTGGCCTGCAGGCTACGGAAATTATTAAATCGAGGTGACAGACAGCAACCAAAAATCTTCTGTTCAGACATCACTGTGATATTCACAACGGCAGTTCTCAAGAAGCCTTGTGGTGCCACAGGCTAGTTTTCAGATGCATGCACAGGCGCAGCAGATTAACAAGAGATAAGCATATCGATGTAGAGTCCTGGACAAGATTCAGTTGGGTTCTGAGGCATTGGTTCCTTATAAATAGTGCAAAAGCCAGTTAATCCTGTGTGGGCACAGGAGCACACTGATACAGAACCATGCAGCAGGTGTATGATTTTTGAGGGGGTACACAGACTGTATTTTTCACACTGTGCTTTTATAGCTACAGAAAACTGAAAAAGCTCAGACTACAGGAACCTGTCTGATGAAAACAACTAGACTGTGACTGCATGTGTCTTTGCAATCACCTGTCGCTTTGTTTTAACACCCAGCTTTGATTTGATTTGATTTGATTTATTTATTCTTTCAAACATGTAACAACAATCAGTATGTAACCACACATAATTCCAGACATATCCACAAATATATTTTCAATTTGCTTATACCTAGTACATGCTTGAACGAAGTAGGAAGAAGTTAGACTTATCTAGTCCTACCCCCTAACATCATCTTATCATCATTGGTTTGTAAGCAGTATTACTACATGGATACATATTCTACATCCACACTCCCATCTGATTAATCATTTAGCCTGTTCTTGCCCATATCTTGATTGACACATACCTTTATATCTGCTTTTGAACTCATCAATTTTCTTACTGTTTTTTATGTCCACACTTAAATTATTCCATAGTTTTACTCCACTTATGGAAACACAGAATCTTTTTTTGGTTGTACGTATA